TATGATAAAGGGCAGAGTCTCATATGGGGAGGTAGACAAACCTGACTCTGTGTATTTAGCGTCTATAGGGAATTTTCACCAGATCTTACTGGCTCGGAATGGCCCATGTTAAAAACTGGTCTTCTGCCACATTCTGCCTTGGGAGGATTGGGTAAATACCTTAGGTTTTCTCTGTGCTTATATAGCTTTGGGTTTGTTTAGTGACCCTGTTCTTCAGTAAAGTATGATACTGTCTCCCCATAAAATTGGTAGGAATCTTTAAGGTCCATGTTATTTTCTGCTGCATTACTGATTCACCACCTTCAGCAGTAGGTCATCTCTAATTGGTATATCCTGCAAGTTGCTACAGCATCTTGCTGTATCAGTCGAAACCATGTGCCCCCACCCCTGCAGCCTGGTTATAGGTGTGATCTATTGTGATTGTGGACATGCTAACCTGTACTTTGAGAATTCTTTTCAGGACTAAGACACTACCTTTTCCTTGAATCCATGTGTGCGATTACAATTTATCTTTTTAAGGGCAAACTCATTTACTTCCCCCTGACTGTATGGGACAGCACTTGACCTCTTGTTCTGGTATCTACAGCACTTATCAATGATACCTGCACCCCCAGTGCATGACCTTTTGTTCCAGTGTCTCTAGTGTTTCTCAATGGTCCCAGCACCCAATTCGAGGGACCATTTGTTCCAGGATTTTCTGTGCTCATCAATGGCCTTGATATCCTCTGCATACAACCAACTGTTTCTGGATTCTACTATGCAAAGCAGTCATTTCTTGTCACATATGAATCATCCCCTGAGTTCATTGGCATGCTATTGCCAAAGCAATCATGAACATATCAAACACAGCTTTATATTCACACCATCTTATGGTACTGTAGGGTACTTGTACAAGGAAGTTAACAGAGACAATTTCAAATTTCAAAAAATAAATTTTTATTTCACTCATTGACTGGATGCATGCAGACATCACACCCTCTTTCCCCCTTTTGCACACTGCTGATCTATATCATTGAGCTTCAAGACCAATATTGAGGATATCAATATAAAGCCTAGTATTCCATTGCTTCAGAAGTCTGCAATGTTTGATTCTGTAGATATTCTGCAAAAGGTGATTTTTTATAACTTGATTCAGAACATCCCTAATGCAGGGTTGGAAATGAAAACTGAATAAAAAAGATAAATACTATCAAACACTTAATTATGATATTATGGTCTTATAAACCAATTATAAGACTAGTATTTTTTGAATAGATTGTCTTGTACAACAGCAGATGTATAAAAAGGTAAGAGGTAGATAGCCTGAATTCCCTTAGAATGGATGAATTATTTTTATCAGTTCTCAGATATTGATTGCCATCATAAAATGCACATGGTCAAAATACAACACATATGCATGACACACATATATAAGCTTCATTTAATAATTCAATGTCTACTACATTTTAGACATATATTATATATATTTATCTACACAAACTGGGAGTCTTTTTCATGTGTAGGAGTTTAAATATCTCAAGATAAGAATTTATTTTATTCAAATTAACTTTCTTTTGATTTTTTTTCAATCTGTACACAAGGCCTTTTTTACATGTGGTAGGATATATTACCAAAATGTAACCCCCAGAGCCCCAATAACATATATGACTAGTGCCATGAACCCATAAAAATTCCACTTGCTACTGAAACTATAACTGAATCACTTGGTGTGGTTGCAGACCTATATTCCACAAGAGGATGTTGCAGGAATTTTAAGAATATACCAGGAGACTAATTATAGTAACCAAAATCTGTCAAACCATGAATGCATTTATGAAAACAGCTAGAAATAATGAAAACAGCCTCAATGAGAATGGCATTACGAAAACAGCTAGAACTATTAATGAGGAAAATGTCAAAATGAGCCAATTACAATGGTGAGAACATCCGAGGGTGGGAGTAGAATTAAGAAGACTGGAGTATTGAGGGACTGTCACTTAATCTCAAGTGAAAGGCACCAATTATTAATGGTCAGAACATTCAATGAGTTGGAACCATCCAGGTGATGGCATTATTGAAAACAGCTAGAATACTAAGAAGAGTGCCGGAGTATTGAGGAGACATGCTGTCACTTAATCTCCAGTGTAAGGCCCAATTATTAATGGTGAGAATATTCAATGAGTTGGAAACCATTCAGATGATGGCATTATTGAAAACAGCTAGAATACTAAGAAGAATGCTGGAGTATTGAGAAGACTTGCTGTCACTTAATCTCAAGTGTAAGGCACCAATTACTAATGGTGAGAACATACACGAGTTGGAACCATCCAGATGATGGCATTATTGAAAACAGCTAGAATACTAAGAAGAAGTGCTGCTGTCACTTAATTCCAGGAGGCACTAATTATTAACAGGTCACTTAATGATCAAGTGAAAGGCACCAATTACTAATGGTGAGAACATTACCAATGAGTTGGAACCATTCAGATGATAGCATTATTGAAAACAATAGAATACTAAGAAGAGTGCTGGAGTATTGAGGAGACTTGCTGTCACTTAATCTCCAGTGTAAGGTAACTAATTACTAATGGTGAGAACATTCAATGAGTTGGAACCATCCAGATGATGGCATTATTGAAAACAGCTAGAATACTAAGAAGAGTGCTGGAGTATTGAGGAGACTTGCTGTCACTTAATCTCCTGTGTAAGGCACCAATTACTAATGGTGAGAACATTCAGTGAGTTGGAACCATCCTGATGATGGCATTATTGAAAACAGCCAGAATACTAAGAAGAGTGCTGAAGTAGTGAGGAGACATGCTTAATCTCCAATAAAATCTACCAGTACCAATGCTGTGAACATTTAATGAGTAAACAAGTATAATAATATAAGCATAAGGATACTATCAAAGTAAATATTAGTCAAATTATCCTGGCAAGAATGTACAATTTGAAAACTAAGGGAAAAAAAAAGAGATCTGAGACAAGATTAGCTAATGATTTTATACTCAGCAGAGACTCATCTTAGCGACACATCTGCCAATGTAACAATCAGAGGAAGAGTTTAACTTTACTGATGCTGTCCATCAACTTCATAGAAATATCAACTGAAATGTTTAAACTGAATTGTAACAACTTTTGAAATACAATTGTAACATATCTTGACATTTCCTTTTTTCAGTTGTCACAGCTAGTATAGTTTTATTCTGACCAATTATTTCTTAACATATTTAGCATGTGTCTTAGGATGATAAATCATGATTTTGAGCAGACATTTGATAAAAATTAAAGATAAAAGAAGACAATATTAAGAACAGATTATGCAAACATATGACTATTATTTTGAATTCATATATACAAAATGGACATGATGTTTGATCTTTTAACATTGTGAATAGATTTTCTTTTTTCTTAATTTTTTAACCTAATACTTACAGACACATTGGCATAATAAAATTCAAGTTAAACTATAATGTAGATATTTTCTGAATTATATTACCAAAGGTAGTTATTTGGATAATTTCAATGAGCAGTCATTCCACATAAATACTCCTGTCTTAATAGTAAGTCTGATCAAGTTCAACAAGGTCAAACTGGCAGCTGATCTAAAAACTCACCTACTGTCTGTTGTTAACTGGGGCAAAGAATGGCTTGTTAATTTTAACACCTCAAAATCAAAACTGCTCTCCATTAATTTCAAAACTGTTCTCCATTGTGAGAACACTTTCTACTTTCCATCAGTATGGCTGATGCTAACCTCCAGGAGAGTGACTCATTGCACCTTCTCAGGCTAATCTTCTTGGTTGACATAAAGCAGAAAGACTATATAGAATCTATTGCAAGAATTACTGCTAAGAAAGTTGGTTCATGGTGTCATGCTTGACAGTTTTTCTCTCTAGAATCTATCTAACATATCTATATATCTATTGTCTATGCTTCGAACATTGCTGACACATATGGTCCAGTGCTCCTGTTATATATTTAGAGATTCTTGATAAAATCCAAAGAAGTATCAGCAGTGTTATTGGTCTTGACCTGGCATCTTGGTTTCAGTCACTTTCTCATCACTGCTTCCCTGTAGTTTTTTCATAGATATTTTCATGGTAATTATTGGGATGAGCTCTTCAATATGGTACCTAGGTTTTATGAATTTAAGTGCACTACTAGATTAGTCACACCAATTTATATTTGAATTGGTTAGATGTATCCGGAAGTTCTATGCTAACAGTTTCTTTTCTTGCATTTCTGACTTGTGGAATACTCGTCTCCATGCATTCCAACTAACCCTGATCTTTAAATTTTTTTAAATGCAATGTCAATTATTATCTACTGTCTCCCTGATTACACTTCAATTGTTATTGCGCCTTAATAATGTTTCTGTTTTTTAATTCTTTCGCATCCAGTAACCCCTGGTGTCTTAATTGTTATACTGCGTTGGGATGAATTTCATTATAACAATGAAAAAATAAGTGTTCAATGATGCTTTTGTGTAAATGGTAGGAATATCAGTTATTGCTTTGATAATCTAAAAAGAAATTTTTTTTTTTGAAAATGAATACAGTATCTATACTTGCAAAATCCAAAGAAGGATCTGTAATGTAATTGATCCTGACCTGGCACCTCACTTTTTCACTGAAGTGATGTGGCTTCCCTCTGTCTTTTCTACAAATATTTTCATAGCAACTACTTGGACAAACTTTTTTCCCTGGTACCCTGACTACATAAATTTAAGTGTGCTACTAGATTGGAATTTAGGTCCCATCCATTTACTGTTGCTAAATGCAATCACCACTTCTACTTCAACAGTTTCTTTTCTCATATTTCCCACCTGTGGAACTCACTTCCATTTACCTGCTTCCCTGATAATTACAATCTTCAAAAATTTAAATGCAATGTCAATTGTCATCTTCTATCTTCTTGAATCCCACTCATCTTTTGTCCTTTCCTCAATCCTCCCTATACTCAGTCTTTTCTTCCACTTTCACTCTCTGTAACCCCTACGTACTAGTGACATTCATGACTTACGTGGAGGGAAATGATAAAAAAATTAACAACATGGTAAACAGAGTTGAGAGATAGATACAGAGAAAGCAGGGAGAGAGAGGGAAGTGGGAAAAAGGACAGAGAGATAGTGATAGAAAGAGAAAGAAGGGAAAGTGATAGGAGGAGGGAGAGATACAGAGAGAGATGGGAAGTATGAAAGAAGGAGAGAGAGAAAGAAAGGCAAACATGGAAAGGAGAGAGAGGAGAAGGAGGGAAAGATACAGAGGGGGAAGTGGGAAAGAAGGAGAGTGAGATACAGAGAAAGAAAAAGGAAGGAAGGTAGGAGATAGGAGGAGGAGAGAGAAATACAGAGAGAGGGAAGTAGGAAAGAAAAAGAGAGAGTGAGGTACAGAGAGAGAAAGAGAAAAGAGTGGAGAGCAGAGGAGGAGGAGATACAGAGAAAGACAGAGGAAAATGAGAGAGAGATAGATACAGAGAGAGAGGGATATGGGGAGAGAATATATATCACTACCAAAATCCAGTGAACAGAACATTTTCCTGTTATATAATGGCTGGCCACATGTTTCTGAGTATGTCTGTCTACTAGGGTGACAAGCCAATTCCTGTTACAGATGCCTGCTCAGGCACATTATATGTTTGTTCAATACCCACAGAGTTAATTTGTGGTTTAAACTGCAACTTTGCTGAGCTGACCATTGTTACAGATTCTGGGACAGAACACGTCATCTTGCAGGCTCAGCACTTTGGACAAAGCCAGGATACGCAAACTCTTGGTCACAATGACTTGTGACTTCATGCAACCAGTGACAAATAATGCCATCTATCCAATTTCACGTAAAAGGCTTGAATCAACCCATGGTATAGCTTTCAAGCACTTTTAGATCTTATATTTGTGACTATTTTTTTATTGATTAACATTCATTATACACCCCCCTTTAAGCACATTTGTCTGTTTTTTTTTTTAGTGGCATATCAACTCCTTACGGGTCATTTAATGCCAAATTTAATTTTAGTAATTTCTTTTACAAAAATGTTGTTATGGGAACTTGCCTATAATGATAATGGACTCTTCCTGACCCTATAAATACTGCGCCTCTCAAGAGGTATAATGAGTGAATGGTGTAATGAGTCGAGACAATATTAGTTCACTCTAAACCAGACGGACAGTCATTACTAACACCTTCAACTTCTTGTACTATATTTCTGTTGTAATATATCTTTGTTATTCTACTCTTGTGTTTGTGTTGTTCTTCCTTGGTTCCAACCTTGGACCATAACTGTGGTGCGAGGATATTGGACCATAACAAATTTATCGCTGGTAATTTTTTTTTTGTTATAAAAATGTATTGATGGTAATAATTTTTGCTATGAAAATGTATTGCTGGTATTTTTTATATAAAGATTTTTATACTTTCATAGTGTTTTGATCCCAGTTTGAGTATTAACTATTTGCCCATGAGTGGGACTCTGGGTCAAGGTGGACTTGGGAACAATAGCAATTAAGATGTGGTTCCACACTCCTCAAAACCTCATGATCAGAGTCTTTGCTGCTGGATGAAGTTTATCATGATACCCAGGACACCATTTGAATTTAAAGATTGTCCTAATCATTTTAGAATGTAGATGTGGATGGTCATAATATAAAAACAATGTCAAATTGATCCCTAACTTTTTACAGAGTTATCAGTACTTTGTTTTTATTTACAAATGTCAAATTTGGAACTTTTCTCATTGATAACTGTATACTACTCATGTTGTCCTTTTGACAATTTTTAAATAAATTTTTGCAAAAAGATTTACATATTTTCCATTTTGGCTTTATTATGGAATCAC